CTTTGCGCACGTGTTAGGAACAATATTTTTTCTACGAGTGAAATAACTATTTTTTTTTTTTTTTTTTTAATTTTTATGGGCATTTAAAACAACTTGCTATAACTAACTAGGTATATCTAAATCGGCCAGCAAATTGGCCCCCTCTCCGCGGAGCTTTGCCCCCTAAGAAAAGGGGGCCCACGGGGCTGGCCCCCCCAAATATAGGGGTACCGGCGGCGCCTAGCCCCCCTTAAAAGAGGCCACAGCGGGGCTCGGTACCCAAAAAGAGGGCTCCGCCCCCCAAATAGGAGACTCTCGCAGGGCTTTGCCCCCCAAATAGGGGGCCCCGAAGTATCACAAAAAAATATCATCAAAAATTATATAAAATTCCCCATAAAGTTGAGTCTTTGTACTAAAGAATATATCAATATCACTATTATCTAATACAAATTGATTGATACTCTTCAGACATCTATTTAAAGGAGTAGACAAATTAGGTACCTTAAAAGTAATGTTTCTTTGCCTCAACCTTACATCAGGTACATTGAAGTTTATATATGGTAAAAACTCAGGTACATCTATATTGTTATTTAGAATATTATAGATAAAATTAATATCACAAAATTTTCTACGAGCTTTCAACTCCACTACATCAAATTCCTTTAATTGTGTCCGATAAGATATAAGGTGTGGGAAGCTTGGATAAAAACCATGTTTTTTTAGAAAGAGATACCTTAAAAACTTTTTCTGAACTTTTTCAATCAAGTCTGTATGAACATAAGTTTCAGGATTCCAGATTACTGTGGCATATTCTAGCTTTGATCGAACTAATGAATTATATAACAAGCAGAAAATATTTGAATTTTTAAAGTTATTACAGGTTCTCATCACAAATCCCAGCTTCCTCATAGCATCAGCATGAAGTTTCTCGATATGACGAGCAAAAGATAGATTTTTTGAGAATAATATACCTAGATCCAGAATTTCTTGAACTCGATTTAGTTTGACATCACAAATTTTATAGTCATTTAAAACAGGATTTTGACTACGAGAGAAGCTAATACATTTACATTTACCAATATTTAGTGACAGCCTATTATCTTCACAGAAAGATAGGATTTTATCTACATCCCTCTGTAGAAGTATTGCATCATTTTCGTTTTCAATAATTTTGAAGATCTTTAGATCATCTGCATATAGTAAAAACTCTGAACTACCCACATAATTAGATATGTCATTAACAAACAACACAAAGAGCAGCGGTCCAAGAACGGATCCCTGAGGTACCCCAGACACTGCTACATAGCTCTGAGAATTAGCTTCTTCAAATTTGACAGTTTGAGGCCTATTGCCGATGTATGAGACCAAATAACTAATCAAATTATCACTAAATGAGAATTGCTTCAGTTTCTTTATAAGGACATCATGGCACACCTTGTCAAATGCCTTATGGGTACCAGAAAAAAAGGTATGGGGAAAAAAAAAATCCCGCATAGTGTGCGCATAGTTACTTTGCGCGCACTTGTAGAAAATAGATATTTTCCTAACAAGTGCGCAAAGTGATACTTTTCCGCACGAAAAAGCAGTTAGATGAACGACTCGAAGCGGAGTTCGGATAAGCTTTGAGTGCGGGAAAGACACTTTGCCCAAGTGTTAAGAACAATACTTTTTCTACGAGTGTTCGAAGATTTGCTTAGCATCCAGAGAGGAGCTGTACCTAATTTTCTTAAATGTTTTCAGATGCTCAAAACTAGTAAATTTCTCTCCTAGTTCAATGTGTTGTGTTTTCAATTTTTTTTTTTTTGCAGTAATCAGCTTGATTTTATTTGCAACATTGGTTGTGCTAGCGAGGTTTACTTGAAATTTGAACAAGTCATTAAGTTTGTTTTTCCTGCCAAATTGAGACTTAATTTACCAGAATGATATTTTTTCATGTGACTTGTTAAATTAGTTTTACGTAGCCACAAGTACAGCATCTTCCTAAAATATATTATCAATTTTTGCTTGCATTATCATAGATTTTGCTTCATCTATTGGTGTCCGATTCATTCTGTCTGATATTCTAAAGGAATGTGAGTTGGTGACTCCGGTGACTCCCCATGCCAACGGTCACCTGACCTCGCATCTATTTTTGCTGGATTTTTCCTCCCCTTTCTCCTTATACGGAAACTGTCAATTTGAAAAAGCTTATAAACATTACCTGAATATAATATACTCTTAATAATACCCTTCTTCATGAATATAAGTTTATCCAGAAACCCACAAAACATTGAAAAATCAAGTATAAATGCGGTAACTAGGCGTTTCCCTGCGCAAAGTTCAACTTTGTGCAAGCAAATGAGTGTGCAAAGTAATAACTTTGCGCACGCAAGTAGAAAAAACATTTTTTAATTTTTTTTCAAGTTGTTTTTTGGGTTTATTTTTTTGAAAAACAAGTTTTTAGACTTCAAGATTATGTCATTTCGGAGGAAATTTTATACTCTACAAAAAACCTAAATGCATTTATGTGGGTACCAAAAATGCATAGTTTTTTTGAGTTATAACCGAAAACCCAAAAAGCTGACAGACTCACCACGCTCTTAATAATGCACCCTTATATCTGGTAGCACTCCGCGGTTTTATCATCTTTAGGAACCCATTCAACATATTAAACAATAAAATTCCACTAACGTCTCAGTTCCTTATTGATCGACATAGTCAATAGCCTTTAATATTGGCGGCATCGGTTTTACATGTATCAAATGAACCACGGTCGATCCATGCTTAGAAGAATTTTTCCATTGGCGTTTCGTTTCAAAAATTGACTATAACAGTCAATTTTTATGTTTAAATGGATGATTTAACTGGTGCAGAGTTCACGGGAGGCGTTTAAAAAAACGCGACATCACAACTTACAATAATTTTCTCCGTTATCAAGTCCACAAGATTGTATGTTTTAGTTTATTCTCTATAAAGCTGAAGTATGCATCCTTCTATGCATCTTTTTTCTTTCGAGACGTGAGCCTTTGCTTATGAACCAAAATTTTTCATTATCATCAAATCTGGTTTTCTTCTTCTAGGTACTGGTTCTCTTTATTTCTGCAGTACAAAGTACAACTGTTCTGTTCGGGGGTAGAAGGATAAGGTGTAGTAACCAGAGGAGATATTCCACGAGCCTTCATAAAATTACAAAATCTCCGATTTACAAATTCAGTGTAATTGTCGTTTCTTATAATTTGCAATTCCTTCCTGGTTTGCCTTTCTAGAAAATTTTTAAATTTTACAAACTGTTCAAAAACTTCACATCGAATAGTTTACATTTTATCGCTTAACCTTCTAACTTAACCTAAGTTATTCATAACTTCAAAACTATGATGATCCATTCTCCGATGCCCTTGCAAATACATAGTCTAATTTTATCGCTTTGAAAATTTGCATAAGTTTCTGGTATTTTAATCTGTCGAACTTAAACATATTTCTTGCTTACTTTTGATTCTTGGAAGGGCAGACGCTTCTCTTGAATATCGCAAAATAGTCCACAATTTCCTATCACAAAAGCATGAAATTAGCCCCAATTATATGAATGACCAATCTAGAATTATTTTGACACAATAATTAAAAGATAAATTCTAACAGAAATAACACTTCAGTGTGGAGCAGTTGAACATAACATCATTTATTAGGAGCTACACTGTCACTTACACTGTACAATGACTCTTTCTTTCCGGGAAAACATTTCACACTTATTATCATTTATGACCTATTTCTGAACGGAACGACACCAAGACAAATGTTAGATACGCTTAAAGTTTCTGCTATCATTGAAAACCCCATTTGTCTTTTCCAACTGGATCTTCATTAATAACAATGCGATAATAGGCGGAGAGGCGACCTTGAAACGTCAGCATTAGTTAAAAGGCGAAACTTTCGGAATTATTAGTTTGGGTTATTAAGTACTTAAAAATTGACAATTGATTTGAACTTGGGATTTTTTCTAGCAATGATTTTGTGATATAGTTTAACTGAAAAGTTATGAGCAGGAAACTTGATTAATTATAGTGTACGCTCCAGGAGACTTTGATTCTCTGGATGATAATTTCTGCTTGAATCTGATGGTTTAGGATAGAAGAACAGAAGGGCCTTAGTACCAGACAGGACTTAAAGTCACCGCACTTGCACTAGGGCATAAGACAGGTAACTTACAACCAGAATAAAGCACTTGTAAGTTGGAAAGAAGACACCAGCCAGACAAAGCACTTGCTATAAGGGTTAAGTTAAAAATCTGTAACCGGACAAATCACCTGCTACAGGTTTAAGGAAGAGCCGAATGTAACCAGACAGAGCACCTGCTACAATAAGGCTGAAGCAAAAGTAATTGTTAGAGTGCAGTCTCACTACTAACGTTGCTAGGCCAATGGTGACTCGGGTACAATTTAAGTAAGAGAAACAACAATAAGTTTGAATCTGATTTTATTAATGAAATTGATCGCCTTTTATATACAATAAATGCTGATTTTGCTAATACCAATGATAGTTATTTGCAATAATAAAAAGTAGGTTGCTTATAATTAATTAATTCTAATATGTACAGTGTGATAAAAAAATAATTGTACCAATTTGGATAAATCAACAATAGAGTTATTTGGGGATTTACATGGTTGTCTTATGAAATATTTATCTGACTTTTATATTCACGCAATTATATTGGTGACACTAGGTGATTGGGGTGATCAACAATTATGTGTCGATTAGCCGATTTATTGAAGTTCAACAGAAGCGGATGATAGAACTATGAACTATGCAATAAAAATGATTCAGAGATAACTATCTAATATTATCCACATAAAATTATGTGTTAAATACAACAACAATTGACTATCAAATAGGACATTTATCCTGTGCCTCTTGATCGCTTACTTTCACAAACATATAAACTGATCATTATCAAATATGACAATCCCTAGGTACGAAAAGAAAGAAAGCTTCTATGTGTAGATGTTAGCGCTGTTAGCACGTTTATTTTCATTACTTTTTCTTTGCAGACAAATTCCTACACAAGGTTCCGTGATACTCAAAATCAACACCAACGCTTGCAAAGGTGATAACACTGAAGTCAGATACTTGGAGCACGTGCAAGCTGTGATATCTTTGAATTCCACCAGAAGAGGCGACGTGGAGTTATTCTTAACTTCACCGATGGGAACGAAGTAAGTTTATATTAATTTGATTCAAAAATAATGTTGCATAGAGATATGAATCAAAGGGATAATTGAAATACTATATTATACCTATATGATTCGAATGCACTTTAGTTGTGCAATTACCAGTAATAAATATAGGTACTAAAAAAGTTCATCTCATTCCATTTATTGATGCAGGAGTCGCAGGAGACACATAAAATAGATAAAACATCAAATTTACACCTGATACTTATTACGATAGAAGGGCTTGATATTCAATATTCAATTACCTACCCAATTTTCACAATTTCTGATTAATGCTCTGAAGAAACCTATTATCTTAAAATAAGTATGTATCATGTCCAATTTATTTTCCTGCCTAAAAACTTATTCGTACTTGGCTATTTATAGTTCCTAATGAACGGTAAGATTATTATTTCCCAGGAAATTTGAGGGTATGAGAAAACGTGTAATTAAGGAGTGAGTAATTGGGATTTGAGAGATCCTATCTTAATTACAAGACCCTTCGCAACTCGAGAAAACCATACATTAATCGTACAATATTGGCAAACTACGAATAGGAATAAACTCAAACGTAATGAAACTTTCCATCTCTCTCTGTATTTATCATTACCATCCTATTTCTGAAAAAAAAAAATAATTGCAAATTCAATATAATTAATAGTTATTTAATTTGCTAGTTTCTTGATCCAGAAAAACTATTTAATGTGCCAAACATTTGGAATAAAAACTAAGTAGGTATTTGTTTTTTTTACACCCTCCTTAGCTTGGCATTTATGCTGAGACAAACGTACTTACCTTCGGTATTTTTGCCGCAAATTCAATCAATCATGTCATGCATTACAAACCCTATAAATACCGCGAATAGATCAATAATTGGAAAATATAAAAATCAATTGCAACCAGTATTTTTGTTTCTCCAGGTCCATGATCCTCAGCCGAAGACAAAACGACGACGATAACAGGGATGGATTTTCAAAATGGCCCTTCATGACGACACATACTTGGGGAGAGTATCCACAGGGTACCTGGATATTAGAGGTAAGATAAAGTACATCACCATTTCCACGTGACAATAGTTAAAATCTGTATTAACGCCCAGATACTTATATGTGTTGGCGAGCGGTAATTTATTTATGTTTCTGGTTTGGAGGTGACAAAAATGTATGGAAGTAAAACAACCTGTGTTCCACATAGGTGCAGTTTTTGTTAAATTGAATTGCAGCAGTTAGCTCTTCTATATTTTCTAAAGACGGTTTTGTCTCTGAGTTGTTTCGCAAATAAAAAAACCATCTAAAATAGTGGTTAGATAATTTCTCCGTAAACTAAACTGTATTTTTTCCCAAGATAGATTTTGACATTGTCAACTTTGAATCATAAACAATGCCGCTTATTGGTCGCAAGATGCCATTTGCAACGACATGCATTGTAATGATTTCAACCTGCAGGGACACCTCATTTTGCGACCAATCCGGGCCGAAAGGTATTGTTTATGTTTCAAAGTTTTCAATGTCAAAATCCATCTTGGGAAAAAATACTAAAAATAGACCATAGATATTTTATTTGGACTACTGAAGATCTGGACCCAATTCACCTGAAATATTATTGTTTCTGCATTTTTGTTTTCCTATACCTACTTAGATATAGGTTCATTTAGTAGACGTAACTTTAAATTAAAAAACAGTTATTTACATTTAACCTCTTTATATTTTACAAAAAAAACGTTATGATTTCTTCTGTTCAGAGCTGGGCAGGGCTTGAGTGCTTTGTGTTATGTTAAATGACACAACATCGCCTGCACGGTTCAGAGGTCTCTAATAGAATAGACTTGACGTACTTTGCTACTTAGACACTGATGGGAACTGTAAGTGGACTGTATTAAAAGAAAGGCAATTGAGTTATTAAACAAAGTTTCTTTACTAGAACTAAATCAGTTATCAATAAATACTGGGGTAGCACGATAATAGACAGGATCGAACACGTATTCTAGAAATCTGATAAAAGCGCAGCGCGTCACCGACGTACTACTAACTCTAATAGAAGGCAACTGAACTCACTTTCTCGGTTGTCCTTTAGTCCCTTGGTTACCGTATAAAGCGCTCTGCGTCACACACACCCCCTTACAACGGCACACCGTTTTTTCCCGAAACGAGCGTTCTATTTATAGATAAGTAATTTTTATTTTAGGATATTCTTATATTTGTGTAACACAATGCAAAAATAAGAATTCCTAACATGCTCCCCAGCCTAAACGACAAACAAAATCACAAGTTTCTTAATTAAACTTAAACTAAATACTTGGGCTCAAAGCCAAAATGACGAAATAATTCTAAATTACACCTTAACCTAACTGAATACATGGGATCAAAACCAAACCAATGACAATAATTCTTAATTAGCCCTTAACTAAATACATGGGCTCAATGCCAGAACAACGACATAAACTTCTTAACCTAAGAGTCACAATTGTCTGCAATGGGTAAAGGAGCTAGTTTAGCCACAGCTCGCTTGATCACACCTGAAGCAGTAGTTATTGACGCAACACGAACTTGTCCATCACTTCCCGGATGCACTGCACATACACGTCCAAGGCGCCATTTGAAAGGAGGCGAATCATTGTCTTTGATAAGAACCATGTCACCAATCTTCAGGTTGCACTTGGTTGACTTCCATTTCACACGCTGATGCAACTGAGAAATGTATTCCATTGACCATCGTTTCCAGAATAACTGCTTTAGTCTTTCTAGCTGTTCATATAAAGTTAACCTGTTTGTTGGAATGCCTTCTAGGTTATGATAAGGTAATGATTCTGATGTGCGACCAGTTAAAAAATGAGAAGGTGTCAAAACATTTAAATCATTGGGATCCGTTGATAAAGCTGTCAATGGTCTTGAATTCAATACACTTTCCACCTGAGAAATTACTGTGCAAAAACTTTCGAATGTCAATGTGTTAGGTGCAGAAGTCAATATTCTCAATAAATGATGTTTGGCAGACTTTATTCCTGCTTCCCAGATGCCTCCTTGGTGAGGTGAATAAGCAGGGATAAAGTGCCATGTTATGTCAAGCGAGGTTCCCAGTTGAACATCAATTTCATCCTTACTTGACCTAAGAAATTGACCTAATTCCCTTAATTGATTATGGGCTCCTACGAAGTTACTGCCATTATCGGAATAAACATGTGACGGCTTGCCTCTTCGAGCAATAAACCTTTGAAATGCCTCCAAAAATGCCATGGTGCTTAAATCAGTAACAAGTTCAAGATGAACTGCCTTCACTGCTAAACAAATGAACAAACAAAGATAACACTTCAAATGCCTTGCTCCTCGACCTTTACGGTCCTTATAGTAAAATGGACCAGCATAATCCACACCTACATTTGCAAATGGCAAACTAGGAGATATTCGTGGATGAGGCAAATCGCCCATTATTGGCTGTAAAAATTTGGGCTTAAACCTAAAACACAAAACGCAATCTCTGACAAATTTTTTTGCAAGATTCTTGCCAGAAATAGGCCAATACCTTTCACGTATATTTGCCAATAGATGCTGAGGACCACAGTGGTAAAGTTTAGCATGCTCATATTTCAGAATTAGGTAAGTCAAGTGATGCTTGGAACTTAGTAGAATCGGATGCTTCTTGTCATAGGAATAGGAAGAGTGACGCAGCCGACCACCTACTCGAATTAGACCATCTTTAAGAAATGGAGCTAGACTGAGAAGACTGCTTTTGTTGCCTACATAGCCTAATTTTTGAAGCTGTTTTATGTCCTCGGAAAACGACTCTTGTTGAGAAAGTACAGCCAACTTAGTAGTGGCATTTCCTATTTCAGAAACTGAAAGATTACCGACGAGTCTCTGATCCTTAGAAAGTTTACAATTTGAAATGAATCGTAAGCATGTAGCTGTAACCCGCCTAATGCGAGTGAAAGAGGAGAACTGCTTAAACGGAAAGAGGTTATCAACTTGTGATTGAACAAAAACCTTCATCTTTTTTCGTATTTCTGGAAGTTCTTCCGACGAGGTTGTTAACGAAATGTCGATTGGCCAATAAGCGGGATCTTCTGATAACCATGTAGGTCCATGAAGCCATACCTTTGAAGAAAGAAAGGCCTTCGAGTTTAGACCCCGAGAAAGAAAATCTGCGGGATTCTGATCCGTAGGAACGTACCGCCAACACCTTGATGAAGTGAGGGTTTGAATCTCAGAAATTCTATTTCCTACGAAAACTTGTGTGTGAGGAAGAACGAATCCAACCAAGAACAACAGTTGAGTCAGACCAAAAATAGGAAGAATCGATATTACATGTCAAGGATGATGTAACCTTTTAAAATAGTTTTGCTAATAGAGTCGCACCACATAGCTCCAATTTAGGTATACTGATTGCCTTGAGCGGGGCTACACGGGTTTTTGAAGTGAGTAGGTGAATAGACACATTGCTAAATGAATCAATGGACCTCAGATAGATACATGCTCCATATGCGTATTGAGAGGCGTCTGAGAATCCATGAAGCTCAGTACGTGACAAGTTTTTGCAAGAAGCATGTCTGGAAATTACCAAAGAATTGACATCAACAAGCTCAGATCGAAAGGATTGCCACCTTTTTGCAATTTCTTGTGGAACTTCATCGTCCCATCCTAGTTGCAAAGACCATAATTGTTGCAAAGTTGTTTTCGCTTGTATGACAATCGGTCCAAGTAAGCCCAGGGGGTCGAATATTTTTGCAGTTTCAGATAGGATGACCCTTTTTGTTATAGTCTTAACGTTGGGTTGAGAATCAATATGGAACGATAATGAATCAGCCTTACTAGACCATAGCATGCCTAAAGTTTTGCATGTTTCTGATGAATTAAAATAATAGGTATCTGTAGAAGAATTGGTCTCTTCCAAAAAACTAAGGATCTCCTGACTATTAGTTTTCCATTTTCTCAAGGGAAACCCAGCACTAGATAAAACGGAAGCTACTTGGCTACATAAAAAGGTAAGTTCTTGAACTGAATCTGCGCCAGAGATATAATCATTAACATAAAAGTCACGTCTGATAATTTCTGAAATCCTGGCCATATTGTCCTTATTATCTATGGCGAGTTGTTTCAAACATCTAGTTGCCAGAAATGGGGCACTTGATGTGCCATACATGACAGTATTCAAGGAATAGGCCTGAAGATTGTCTTCTGGATTCGACCGCCACAATATTAATTGAAGTGGCTTAAATGCGTCGGCAACCAGAATTTGGCGGTACATCTTGCAGATATCTGCTGTTACCACGAACGTGTGTTGTCTAAAACGGAGAAGTATGGATAAAAGGTCCTCTTGAACTCTAGGCCCAACCAATTGCAAGGAATTGTATGAAACACCAGAACTTGAAGGAGAAGAACTGTTAAAAACTACTCTTAATTTTGTAGTAGAGCTTTCTTCTTTAATTACAGCATGATGAGGAGAAAAGAATGTCACAGTTTCACTTGAAATGGCAACTGGAGACATGTGTCCCATATCGCAATATTCTCTCATGAATTCTGTATACATTTCTTTAAGTTTTGGGTTGGCGGAAAACCGTTTCTCTAAAGCGAAGAATTGTCTTACAGCAGCTTGCTTGGAATCGCCTAGCATTGAAATCGGATTT